GAAAAGGAGATATAAAATGAATTGCCAATGGAAGAAAACTGCACAATGAATGTTTCACATTATTATCTTAATCAGTCAAATTGATGCTATAATTTTATTGAAAAAAATTAGCGATACAATGATAAATAAGTAAGCTTAAATATGCACCAAAGTTACATAAACTCCTTCATAACAGAAAATGCAATTTAAAGCAAAAACTGCAAAATGCAAAACCTGTAAATATATACAATGTCAATATTATGTAAAGCTAAACACCATATACAACAATTTTATCTCAACAATTTTAAATATTTTTGTTTATTTTCTTTCTTGTTTGATATCTGAACAGGCCTGTTCATGGCTTGATTTTCCTGTTCAAATGGAGGCAAGGAGAGGAATCAGTTGGCACAGTAGTACAAGACAGTCGCTCATTGGGGATTTTCTTTGCTAAACAGGTACAATATATCACAGGGGCGTACAGCGCCCTTTACGCATTACGCAAGTGCGTACTAGTGGCAATGAAATATTGAAATTTTCGGGATTTATGCCTTTTATATGCCCTCGATGCCCCTCAAAAAGGCTGGAAATCGCATTTCCAAGAGTTATTATTTCAAAATTTTCCGGGGAGGATCCCCGACCACACATACTCCAGGCTTCAGCCATCGTTAGCCCCCCTAATCCAAAATATGTTTCGTGGTCCCTAACATGTGCGTACTAGCCAAAACGTCCACGCTGCGTGCCTGTATCACTAATCAATTTTTGGTTCTTTGTTCTTTTGAACATTCATAACATTGATAAAATCAATAATTGTACAGTTTAATGGGTAATTTCTTAATTATCTCTTGTGGAAATCACACAAACTAAGCAAACCATGCTTCTAATATATAATCAATACCAATAGTGTATTGAGTCATGCAGGGATAGATTCAGGACATAATTCAAGAAGGGGCACAAAACATTGTCACAAAGGAGACATAAATTGTAAGACATCAGATGGTAGAGGTTTCCAGAAGGGACTGTGCAATGGATTGGACAGTAGGATGTACATGTAACTAGTTGTACATTTATTTGCATTGTCTAGGTGATCACAAATGCYTGTGCTACTCAAGCAATACTCAGTGTGTTATTAAATACCACCCATCCTGACATYGATATTGGACCAAACTTGAGCTCCTTCAAAGAGTTTTCTAACACCTTTGATAGTGCTGTAAGTATGTATTACAGTATTCAAATTTTACAAAAATATACTAAATTTTTACTATATTTTGTTTAATATCATGATTTTTATTTACTTATTTATTTTAGCTAAAAGGTTTGAGTTTAACAAACTCAGATGTAATCAGAAGTGTACACAACAGCTTTTCAAGGTAAGCACTAAACTCGTTTAATAATGATATTTATAAAATTTTTGATATAACGTGCGCTCTGATTGGCTGACGACCGTGTTTATATCAGAGGACAGAGACACGGCTTACCGGCAAAATTCTCGCTACGCTCGTGTTCCTAAGCTTGCTTCTCTCGTGTTTTTCGAACTCGCTACGCTCGTGTTCCTAAGCTTGCTTCTCTCGTGTTTTTCGAACTCCCACCGTGTTTATATCAGAGGACAGAGACATGTGCACTGTTTTATATTTCTTAAATACATGTACTGTCAGATTCTCTGGTCTGTCACATTTGTGTACTTACCCCCTCCTCTTCAGAAGATGTCTCACCTTTTCTCTTGAGCTTCCTTGCCAACTGTCGTTCACCCATAGCTGTCAACCCCCCAACTTTTCAATTCTGGAGATTTGTGAAATCATGATTTTGGCTTACTGTGGTGAACTACGTAAAAGTATGTGACGTAACAGCACAAAGCGGGGGGCCTCATGGACAGGAAGTAAAGCTACACTTTGATTGAACAAAGAAAATTATACAACGTACTTATAAGTATAAGCTCATTATTCAAAAAATAGCTTTTTATTATAAGTGGTCATATCTTGGGGACGTCTTACATTAATACATTAGGTACCATATTTTTACAAGTTTGACGATTATCCAGGAGATTTCAGCCTTTATCCAGGAGATCGGAAGACAAGGCTCAGATTTTGGATATTCCTGGATAATCCGGGAGCGTTGACACCTATGCATTCACCATGTCATCTTTTGTCAACTTTTCCTCGTTCAGCAGCCCATAATATTGCTAATTATCAATGCTAATGTATTTATCTTTTAGTATGACAGAAATAATATGCACATAATGATTATTTCCTCTTTCTCCAGACAGCAAATGTTTGAATTTGATGCCAAAATCCCACAAAAAGATGATGATGTCTATCACTTTGTTGCATATGTGCCCATCAATGGACGTCTTTATGAGATTGACGGACTTAAAGATGGACCCATTGACCATGGTAAACGGATCCTTGTATTGCTTTTTTCGAATTGAACCATTGCCATTTTAAAATGAAATGAGTATAGCAATCAACTGGAGAGGAAGTAACTGTAGAGCGTTCAGTAAAGTAGAATAGTACTAGCTAAAGTGCATGTACAGAGATGTAGTGTGGACTTGAGTAGAGTAGAGTAGAGTACTTGCTAAAGTGTATGTACAGAGAGAGAACTAGTAGACTTGAGTATGAGTGGAGTAGAGAAGAGTAGATTGAAGTAGAGTAGAGTATAGTTAATAATGCTATACATTGTGCACAATACATCACAAATATTCTTCATCAAAATAGTCTATGTTATCAGGTGCCTGTACATATGAAAACTGGCTGAATGTATGCAGTCCTATTATCGAAGCAAGAATGCAAAAGTATGCAACTTTTTTATGTCTCTTTGCTAATATGTATATTGTATGCTTCATTTACAGCTAATATTGTCAAAGGAAACAACACTTTTTCATACTTTAGTAAATCTAGGAATTAATTATTAAAAAAAACAGCAAAAAAAATTAAACCACTTAGACAGGTTAAATGCTTTCTTTATCTTTTTAATGTAGGTATACTTTTTTACAATGAGAGTAAAAAATTTCTATTTCTCTTAAGACAACTTTTGTGCAAATATTAAGTGTACAATATGTATCCATTTTTTAGATTTTTACAATAAACATGCAATTTTTTAAATCCTTGATGTGTTCTGATCATTGTAGATATTCTTCAGAGGAAATTCGATTCAATCTCATGGCTATTATATCAGACAGAAAGATGATTTTCCTTAAACAGATTGACACACTAAATGCAAAGAAACAACATTTTTTGGAAAAGGTAAGACAADATTTTTACTTAACTATCATATATACATGCAGCTGGCCATTTTTCTCATAATAGAAGTCATGGATTGAAACACAACAACCCAGCACTTTTGCCATCAGGTCAAGATTGCTCAAACCTCAATTARCTAAGTCTGGATTAACTCTTGAAAAACCTATGAAGTTTACTTTGGATTAATGCTCGTTAGACTTCAAACAACCATCCCAGTACAATAGCCGATTTGCGAATTTCGCTCCAGTTGTCAAACACAAAAGAATCAAGACGAGGCGCCGTGCGTAAAGCTCAGTCAATTGTGAAAAACTATTGTCGTTTCACGAATGACTGAGCTTTATGCACGGCGCCTCGCCTTGATTCCTTTGTGTGTGACTACTGAGTCAAAAACTCACAAGTCGGCTATTGGTGCAGGCCTGTTTTAACCAGACCATCTTTTATTGCAAAAACCAAGCCTTCCTCTCAAACAAAAAGCGACATGTCAGTAAAAGAATCAAATTTGTTGTTGTATTCCAGAAACATCCACCAATTTTTAGACAAGTGGACCATTATTATGTTAATAAACTCTTGCAGTCCGTGGGAATGCAATTCCAACTAGAGGACAAATGAATAGATTCTAGTTCCCAAGAGGGCAAAAATCTTTTGTTTTGTCCTCCAGATGAAGCTGTTTTTGCGTCACATGCAAGGGGTCTATAAATAAAACTCATGGCTAAAATTAACAGCATGTTTATTTTGTCAAACATGGAGTTTAAACTCTCTAGTAGATACTAGTCCAGTCCCAGCCCCTTTTCGACCCACTCGGTTAACGGTCCTCTCGCAAGCGGGTCGAAAAGGGGCTGGGACTGGAGTATAGTAGATACACGTTCAAGTACACTACTTAATAACCTTTTAGCATATTGATACAAGTAAA